GGGAGGTGTTGGGGGAAAGACATGGAGTAGCCGCCTGGTGGCACATGGAACCAGAGCTTTTTGCCACTGTTCCCTGCCAGCCTGCTTCCCTCCCCAGTGCCCCAGCACAGCTGGGGACAGAGGAGCTGTGTGGGGATCTCACTGCTGCTTGCCCTGCACTGCCCTGGTGACACGCCAAAAGCTCAAAGCTCAGTTGGAGTTGCAGCTAGCACATGAAGGGTAACAAGAAGGGTTTCTACAAGTATGTCAGTAGCAAGAGGAGGATCAGGGAAAGTGTGGGTCCCTTAACTTTGTGACAGATGATGAAATGCTCAATGACTTTTTTAGCTTGGTTGGTCTTCACAGGCAAGTTCAGCTGCCAGACTACTGCATCTGGCAGCACAGTTTGGGGAGGAGGTGAGCAGCCAACAGTAGCAAAAGAACAGGTTAAACACTATTTAGAAAAGACGGACATATAGAAGTCCATGAGGCTGGATAGGATCCACCCAAGGTTGCTGAGAGAGTTGGCTAATGTGATTGCAGAGCTACTAGCCATCATCTTTGAAAACTCTTGGCAGTCAGGAGAGGTCCTGGATGATTGGAAAAGGGAAAACATAGTGCCCATATTTAAGAAAGGTGTGGCTGCTGGGCCTCCAATAGCTGCTCTTGGGCGGCCTTTGCTCTGGTGGTAGAAGTCAAGCACCTTACAGACTCATGTCACAGACCGAGTAGATGTCTCCCCCTCGTGTTGCCTCCCCCGTTCTCGCCTGCTACAACTTGTTCCTCAGTGGGTGGGATTGGTCACTGAGTGCACTCGGTGGCCCGTGGTTTGCCCGGCGGTCATTCACGGGGCTCCACCACCCCTACACCCCGGCCTCATGCCTCCTTTGGTGCATCGTCCATCTGTTGGCCTCGACCCCTCCATGGGGATAAAGCCTTCCGACTTGGCGTCTAGGTGCCTATGGCCTATAGCCAGATTTGTCTGTGTGGGCCTACCCCTCGGCCTTTCTTGCCTCTGCCCCTTCTTTCGGGGAAACACAAAAAAGGTAAACCTTCTGAGGCTTCTCCTCAGCCCCGTTCCTTGGGGATACCCGCACTCTCCCCCTATGCCCCTTTGCACAGGGTAACTAAATAAACTTAGTAACAAAATACCGACTAATAAGCCACTTCCTGGCATGGTGGCCCCCTGCTCCCTTACTATCCTTCCCAGGCTCTAGCTGGGGGGGGAGTTGCTTTACTCCTGACCCATCACCTCCAGTATTCACTCCCATCTGCCCATCAACCCGGCTGGGACCGGCAGTGATACCTGCCCCAACTGTAAACCCCTCAGGGCTCTCCTGGGGTCTTCTCCCTTTGGCATGGCTTCCTCTGTGCCCCTGTTGTCCCAACAATCCCACCTGGGGTCAGCTCTGCCTCCAGGTGCAGCTCTAGCTCTGCCTCTGGTCGACATGCTTGTCGATCCCTCACCGTCCCGTGTGGGCTTCAGTCGGGGTGCTCCACCTTGCACTGCCAGCATCTGCCCCTGCTTGCCAGGCTCTGTGGGTCCTGTGGGGAGGATCCTTTTCACTGCCGGCGGCTGCTGCAGCTCCTCTCCTGTGCTGCCCATCTCCTCCATGGCATCGGTCGCCATTTTTATCTTTGCTGGCCGGCGTCTGATGCTGATGTCATCAGCTGGCCATAATTGAATAAAGAGGTGGCTGACAATCCACGCAGGCTCTTCATTCTGTCCCTTTTGTGCTGCGTCTCATGCTGCCAGTAAGCAACCTCCATTACTTTTTTCCCTGGGACAAAAGGTAAAAAGGAGGATCCAGGAAATGACAAAACAGTCAGCCTCACCTCAGTCCCTGGAAAAATCATGAAGCAGATCCTCAAGGAATCCATTTCTAAGCACTTGGAGGAGAAGAAGGTGATTAGGAATAGTCAGCATGGATTTTCCAGGGGTAACTCATGCCTGACCAACCAGACTGCCTTCTATGATGAGGTGACTGGCTCTGTGGATGCAGGGAGACCAGTTGATGTGGTGTACCTAGCAAGTCTTTTGATGCAGTCTCCCAGAAAAGCTAAGGAAGTATGGGCTGGATGAATGGACTGTAAGGTGTATAGAAAACTGCCAGGAGCATCGTGCTCAGAGAGTAGTAATCAATGGTTGGATGTCTAGTTGGCAGCCGGTATCAAGTGGTTTTGTTCAATGCCTTTGTCAACGACGTGGAAGATGGCATACAGTGCACTCTCTGCACATTTGCAGATGACATCAAGCTGGGGGGAGTAGTAGATACACTGGGGGGTAGGGCTAGGATTCAGAGTAACCTAGACAAATTGGAGGATTGGGCCAAACAAAATATCATGAGCTTCAACAACAACAAGTGAAAAGTCCTGAACTTAGGCTAGAACAGTCTCATACACTGGTACAGGCCAGGGGTTGACAGGCTGGGAAGCAGCTCTGCAGAAAAGGACCATGGGGTTACAGTGGACAATAAGCTGAATATGAGCCAGCAGTGTGCCCCTGTTGCAAAGAAGGCTTACAGCATACTGGGCTGCATTGGTATGAGTGTTGTCAGCAGATCAAGAGAAGTGATTATTCCCCTCTATTCAGCAGTGGTGAATTCACATCTTGAGTCCTGTGTTCTGTTTTGCCCCTCCCTCCCATCCCCGCCGCCACACACACATGCTACAGAAAGGGTGTGGACAAATTGGAGAGGGTCCGGGGGGGGCAACAAAAATGATAAGGGGGTGGGGCACTTGACCTATGAGGATCGGCTGAGGGAACTGGGATTATTTAGTGTGGACAGAGAAGACTTAATAGCAGCCTTCATCTATCTGAAGAGGCGTTCAAAAGACTAGAGCTAGACTATTCTCAGTGGTGGCAGATGACAGAACAAGAAGCAGTGGTCTCAAGTTGCAGCAAGGTAAGTTTAAGTTAGATATTAGGAAGAATTTTCTTATTAGGAGGGTAGTAAAACAGTGGAACAGTTTACCCAAAGAAGTGGTGGAATCTCCATTCTTGGAGTTTTTCAAGACCTGGCTTAACAAAGCTTTGGCTGGGATAATCTAGTTGGGGATGGTCCTGCTTTGAACAGTGGGTTGGAATAGATGATCTTCTGAGGTCCTTTTCAACTCTAATATTCTATGATTTTAACTTTCTGCGAAGAAAATTCAGGCTTATGAAAGCACTCCAGGGTGCATGTGCCCCTGTCAGGAATGAATTTGCTACCAACAGGAGGAATTCAGTCCAGGGCTGTTCACCCTCCTGCCTTGACTGGGCCCCCTGAAGCAGCCAGGTAGAGTCAAGGATCCTCCAGGTGCCAGCCCCAGGTGCCAGCCCCAGCATGGGGGGAAGTGGGGGGGTCAGGCCTGGGCTCTAGGGAGTGGCAGGGATCTGTCGAGGAGTGGGAGACAGCTCCCAGCCATGTAGAGCCCAGGATCACAGTGCAGCTCAGTGGTGCTGGCTTGGGGCAATGGGGCAATGTCCTGTGCCCAATCATGGGGGTGTTATCAGTGCCGGGACTAGGGCAGAGAGAAGCAAGGGGGAAGCAGAACTGGGACTGGGGAGGGTGGAGATGCGAGGGGAAAATAGCGATAGGGATTGGGGAGAAGACATGAGGGAGAAGCAGTGCTGGTCCCCCCGTGCTCTGCTTTTCCCTGGCATTGCCCCCCTGGTCCCAGCATTGCTCAGCTCTCAGCTTCCTCCAGGCGCAGGTGAGGAGTGGGAGTCAACTGGGGTGTGAGCTGCATGGGCAG